ATATTCAGTGAGTAGAACGCTGAGTTGCAACCTCACTGCTCTTATCCTTGGGCAGATTTTTTAATCTCTGTAAGCACCAATAAATGAGAATCATAATTCTTTTATATCCCAGAGATGCTGTGAATACTAAATGAACCAGAATGGGAAAGTACTCTTAAGACGTGTTAATGTATTTCCTTCCTACCCTTTCCTCAGCTGTCTTTTCAAAAGGAAATAAGATCAGTCTTCTCTCTTTATATAGAAATGAAAACGTATCTGCTAGTGTCCTAGAAAAGGAGCCTTCCTGGGTGCGACCTCTTAGGAAATAAAGGAAAGTATCAAGAGGGATAGTGCAGGTCAGATCACCCCCAGAAATTAGAGAGCACCAGCCAGAGAGTATCGATAGCAGAAATGCATAGAAAAGGGAATTACCCAACGCTTAGAAATCCATAGGCAGTAGAAACCTGCTACATCTGTAAGAAATGAATGAGTGGGCAAGACCTGTCGTCCTCTCCAACCTTCATGAACAGACCACGCGTATTTCCCTAAGTGGTCTTAGATCTTGCAGGAACTGGGGAAAGTCAACGCCGCTGCTGACGCATTATTGCTCTTACACGCTGGGCACTGTGCTGGGGAGCTGGGGATGTGAGTTAACAGGCGCGGGTATCACAGCCCACCTTGGGGAGGGTGAAGTATGAGACTCCCAAGACCGTGCAAGAACCCAGGGAGCGTTTTTTTAAACTACTAAGTTTTAAAGCCCCAATTCCAGCCTCCTTGGACCGCATAGTTGCAGTCCGCCCTCGGACTCCCACTCAGATCCTCCGAAGGGATTTAACAAGTGCACTGTCCCAAGTCCATTTTATGCCAGGCTCCGCGGGCGGGGAGAGGGAACTGCATGGCACCCTGACTCAGAAACTCCGGCCCAGGGGGGTGCAGGTCCCGCCGCTCAGCGGGAGGGAGCGTGGACGTGGGGTGGGCTGGTGGGTCCGGAGTGACGCGAGGGAGGTCGGAGGCGGTCAGCGACGAGGTGACGCGCGCGGGGACCGCGCCGCCTCAGCCCACGTGTCCGAGGGGTTTAAAAGTTGGCCGGCGCTCGGGGCTGTCAGGCGGCGGGGCCCCGGGAGCCGCTGCCAGTGAACTCTCCGCCGGCGCAGCGCAGGTTCTCCAGTCCCGAGCTGGCTGCAGACGTCCAGATGCTGAGAGCAGCGAGTAGCCGCCCCGGGCCGCCCCCTGGAGACATGACCGCCGCATCCAGGCTGGTGCTGCTGCTGCTCGCCTGTTGCGCGGGCGCCTGTCAAGGTAAACCAGCCCTGAGTCTCCCCCGCGAACCCCGCAGGCTTCTGGCGCCTTCCCTCAGCCCCACTCACCGCGCTCTCTTGCCTCTCTTTCTCGCCCGTTTTATTCTGGAAGTTTCCTTCACCTGGAGCCAGGGTCCCCAAGTTCTGACCTTTAACGACAGGGCGCAGATCGCCACCCCGGGACAGCTACCAGTGCAGAAATCTCCAGGCCTGGTGCATTGGTTCCCCGGGCAGCTTGCAGGGCTTCATTAGATCCAGGGATCCTCACCCTAGTGCCCATGGGTGATGCGAATTAATGCTCTTCCTTAGATTGCTGTTACTGGGGGGATTGATGGTTGAAGCAAAACTAGTGACTTAGGTACTTTATCTGCTGATGTAAACTTGAATGGTGTTCAGCTTCTTTGGTAAGTGGTTCCAGCTCTGTTCAGATAACCCCAGCAGTGAAACACCCATTCTAGTGCTTTGAAGGGATCAGGCATAGGTAAAGGAATCAACTATTTGGTGAGGATAGAAACTAGCTGTTTGGTGGTGATCATGATGTAGAGAATACACGAATTATTGTGATATACAGCTGAAAAGATATTATAAACCAATGTTGCCTCAATACAATTTTAGTAATATTAAAAAAAAAAAGAACAAGCTCATGCCTTATAGATTTTCAGACCAAATCAGTGAAAGAAATAGACTTTCTTATCACACAGAATTGGAGATGCAAGTGTGCAGACCAGCTTTCATTTCAGTGCTGTAATAAAGCCAAGTGAGGGAAGATAGGACTTGATAACAGCAGTGACTTCCTGAACTTGGCTTAGAGGAAAGAAGTGGGAAAAATGAAAGCAACATCTGGGAGGAAAATGTGAAGCTTGAGACGGAAGGCAGATCAGAGGATAAGATGTTAATAGTTAAAAGGTTCCTCCCAACCCCCTTACCCCCCAATCCCCACTGATTGCTAAAGGTTATCCTCCGGTACCTTAAGGTGTCTTTCATCCTCCAACTCTGAGCCGGCTGGTTGGCTCATCACCAAACTGCTAAGGCCATGAATTTTCTAACTTTGCAGGATTTTCTCTTAGCTTTCCTCTGCTCCCATCAGTGAGGTAAAGAATGTTTTATCATGGTTCAGAACTTGAAATCACACCTGCAGCCACCTTTCAGAGCATGTAGCCCCACCAGCAATGAGAAGAGGGAAACTGAAGCTATTTTTCTCCTGCTATGTTAACTTTGATTGCTGTCCTTTTACTGCTTTGATTTTCCCCTTTCCTTGAGACTTCAGAGGGTGTGTATGTGTGTGATCCTCTGCTTGAAAAGCAAAATATTTTGGTTATAAAGTCTAAGCATGCAGAGCTAGGGAACTTAAACCTTCTTTAGCACATAGCCAGTAATGATACAGAATAACTTGTACAAAGTAATGTTAATCTTTTTCAATTTTACATTTGTCATTGGTAAAATTACAATGATGATCTTTGTCTACCTTATTAAGGAAGCAGATAATCATTGTTTTAAGAGGTAGCTTGCTCTGTGTAAAGTGAATATTCTGCTTGTGAATGTTTTATCTTCCTGGCTTGCTGTGATTTTTACATCAATAGGAAATAATTGTTTGGGGGGGAGGGGGGAGGATTTCCAGGGTTCTGGTGGTTGGCAAAAACTGTGGAAGGCAGTAGATGGTTCCTTCAAAGAGTCAAATCTTGAACTTTATTTCCAAAAGTGTATCTGCTGGCTGGCCCCTCATCTCATAAGCACCCCCAATATTTCCTAAAGAAAGGGATGAATTTCACTATGCAGAAACCCTATTAGATTACTCTTTTCTGTCTTCTTTCCCTTTTGGACTTCCTATTGATGCTAGAAACTAATTTTATCCTTCTAAAACTTTGCTAGGAGGTGACTATACTTTGTGATCTGCCCTATTTCTGAATCCAGAAAGATAGCCTGGGAAGGGAAGCACATCATGCATAAGCAAAACTAGGGGATAATCTTTCAAGATTAATCATTATGCAAACTGCAACTGAATGTATCTAAAAACAACAAAACAAATGTCACAAAGCCAGAGGAAAATAAATTAGTGTCAATGAGTGCTGCATCATTGGCAAAAACTAGCTAGCAGAGCATGCAATATCAGTAAGAAGACAAAGGGCCAGCCACAGATATGGTGGGTAGAAACTATTATTAAAGTGTAACAATATTAAAATAAAGAAGGAGACTTCCTAAAAGAGGGGTACGTTGTGGATATGTGCAACAATCTGTTATTAGATTTGCCTTGTGACAGTGAGTGTTCGGGCTTAAATTAAGAAGTGTCTTTTCCTATTTAAATTTACAATCCAGTGATTTTCAAGCAGCCTTAAAGAATAGTGCTGCTATCACAATAATGCAATTTTCCATTACCCTCAAAAGATGTCATGTCTTGTCCTTTTATAGTCAATCCCAGTTTCTAGCCTGAGCCCTAGGCAACCACTAAATTTCTATCTTTATATATTTGCTTTTGCTGGACATTCCATAAAAGCAGCATTATCCAATGTTTGGTCTTTTGCAGCTGATTCATTTGACTTCACATAATATGTCTGAGGTTCATCAATGTTGTAGCATGGATCAGGAATTTATTCCTTTTTTTTTGGAAAGATTTATTTACCCATACAGAATTGGGGTACAGGCCAGAGATGCAGAGGGTGAGAGGATTCACCAGAGACAGAGCAGGGAGCAGAACAGGCAGATCAACGAAATACACTGCTGAGGGGAGCAGCGGGCGAGTCAGGAGAGGTCTGCCTCCCCATGTGGATCTCCTCCGGGGCAGGTGGGAATTGAACTCATGCAGAAATGTCTTAGGCTTCTTAGTGCTGTGCTTTAGCCCGCTGCGCCACCAGGGAGGGCCCGAATTTATTCCTTTTTTGTAACCAAATAGCATTTCACTCTGTTGGTGTGCTCTCTCTCTCTCTTTCTTTCTTTCTTTCTTCCTTTTCTTTTTTTAAGATTTATTATTTATTTATGCTTATAGAACTGGGGTACAGGCCAGAGGTGCAGGAATGGTGAGAGGATTCACCAGAGGCAGAGCGGGGAGCAAAACAAGCAGATCGATGAAGAACACTGCTGAGGGAAGCTGTGCCATGTGGGTCATCTCCCTCTTGGGAGATTGAACTCATGCTGCAGTGGCTTTTGCGGGGGTGGGGGGGGGCTTCATTATGCAGTGCTTTAACCTGTTGCGCCACCAGGGAGAGCCCTGTATACCAGGGAGAGCCCTGTGTATATATATATATATATTTTTTTTTGCCAGATGAGAGACATTCTCAATGAGGATTGTTCCTACATTGAGTTATTATGAATAATGCTTCTATGAACACTTATGTGCATGTTTTTGTATTTACATGTAAGAAACTTATTCTTGAGAGTAATGTATTTGTAATTTTATAAAAGTTTACTTAATAATAGTTATTTCTTTTTATAATGTCAAACACCTCATTGAAATAGAGGACAGCAATATACCATACAAAATGAGAACTATAACCTGAAAATAAATTATGTATAAATATTTAATTTAAGAAGAAATATTGTAAAATTAATATGTGAATATAACTTTATTTTTAGGTGCCCCAATATTATCTCAAGGATTACAGCCTGAACAAGAGCTACAGTTGTGGAATGAGGTAAACAATTATCCTCAAGCAATTTAGTGGAAACTTTACCCTTCTTGGAATATATCACACTTTGAATTATTGAGCTCAAATAATGTGTTAAGATTTGGGACAGTTATGATTTTACTAATAATTTGATTTATTATTTACTAAGATTTATAATTTACTTCATTTATTTTTCATTTAGTAAATAAAAGACTAAAATTGGGAAAAAAATTTTAAGAGACCGAATTCTCAGACTATAATTAAAAAATGATCCAGCAATATATTATCTATAAGAATTACATAGAAAAAGATAGGTTGAGTTCAATGATATCAAAAGTATAGATTTCTTTCCACAAAAGAAATCATGAAAAGAGGTAAGACCATTTGAAAGAAGATATTAACATATCTAAAATTAATAAAAGATTAACTTCTAGAATATATAAAAAACCTTTATACAAAATCAGTTGAATAAAGGCAGGAATCAAAAGCAAAAATAGTCAAAGAATAGAACAGTTTACAAAACAGGAAATCTAAAAGGACAACAAATATCTAAAGAGATGTTCAAGCTCATTAGTGACAATGAAATGAAATTAAGCTGAGTGTCACTTTCCATCCATGAGACTGGTAAAAAATCGAAAACTGGATAATGGAAAGTGCTAGCAGAGAGGTGGGGTATACAAACCTTCATGTGATGCTGGTGAGAATATTGAGTAGTGGAACCATCTGAAAGCAACTTAGATACCACCATGTTTTAGATTCCCTCTCCTGAGGATATATCCCAAAGACATTCTCCTACAGATCCAGAAGTGGAGGACAGATACTATGTGGTTAATTATAGCTTTACTTATAATGCTGGAATTGGACGGAATCCAGCTGCTGATCTTCAGGGAGGGGTAGGCAACATATGGTGAGTGTATGTTATGGAATACTCACAGCAGCTGGATGCAGCATACTACATACAGTCAGTGACATGGGGGAATTTCCTTTATTTATTTATTTTTAAAGATTTATTCATTTATGCTTATAGAACTGGGGTACAGGCCAGAGATGTGGTAGATGAGAGGATTCACCAGGACAAAAGGGGGAGCAGAACAAGCAGATCTATTGAAATACAATGATGAGGGAGCAGCAGGGGGGACAGGAGAGGTCTGCTGTGCCATGTGGGTCAGCTCCCTGGCCAGGGAACTCATGTTGCCGTGGCTTTGGAGAGCTTCATAATGTGGTGCTTTAACCCATTGCACCACCAGGGAGAGCCCAATTTCCTTTATTTTTGTAAAGATTTTTAAATTTATACATACAAGAGCTAGGATACAGGCGAAAGGTGTGCGGGGTGAGAGAATTCACTAGAGATTGTGTGGGGAGCAGAACAGGCAGACTGACAAAGTACACTGCTGAGGGGAGCAGTGGATGAGACAGGAGAGGACTCCTGTGCCATTTGGGTCAGCTCCCTGGCTGGGGATCCAACTCGTGCTGCAGTGGCTGCATCTAGCTTCATAGTGCTGTGCTTTAACCTGTTGTGCCACCAGGGAGGGCCCACAAAAGATGAATTTCAAAGTATAAAATGTTAAGTTAAAAAAAAAGTAAGAAAATGCTATATATACATTCACACAAAATAGCAGGGCAAATTTATAAAAACATAAATGGAAAATACACATCAAATTCATTAGAAGTGTTACCCATGGAGGACAGAATGGGAGTAGGAAATGGAAGTGGAAAATAAGTCTCGGGATAATAGTGACCTATGGATTGAGAATTTCCTTTGTACTTAAGCACCTGCAACAAAGCATTGTCACTTATCAACAGGTTCTTAGAAACTGGGACCTTATGCAGGTTCTCGAATAGTGTCATTTCATTCAAAGTTGGCCAGGCTTTTCCCCCGTTCATCAATGTTATAATGAAATGACAATGAACAAAATGTCATTATTTGAGGACCTCTAGTACATAAGATGGTTGGTAAGTGTCAAGGACTAAATAGTCTTTAGTTACATATGAATTTATACTAAGATTCTCTGCTTCATTTATCCAAATATCAGCTAGAAACACATGAGTAAGATAAAGAATAATTTAGACAGCAATACAGATATCTAATACAGAAACATTTTAGCTGGAAATCAGTGTAAAATCTTTGAAAAAGTACATCAGCTAATATTGCTGGAGGAAAACTCAAATATAATCGTAAAAAAGCACTTTGATTTTTTTATAGAAAAAAGACATCAAGATGCAAAGAACATGCAGTTAACATTTCTGTTGGGAGTTTTTTAAATTATGGGCTATTGAAAAACTGAAAACACATTCTCTTCAAACCATGTATAGAGATCTATGCATTTTCGAACTGAATTTCCAATGGACTCTACAGAGTTCTCAAAAGCAATTAGTGGCATTCCAAAACAGTAGGGCCAACTGAGTAAAAATAAACAAATATCCAAATAGTGGGTGAGCAATGCTTCTGTTCCTTCTTAAAAAAGAAAAGCGAAGGCTAAATATCTTTGCAATTATTTCCTTATGGGACTAATTTTTTAGTGTTTTTTCTTTTCTCAATCAAATAATACTGCTGAAGTACTTAACTAGCTAACCCTGAGGCTCAAGGGTTCTTTATTCTTGTACTTGGCAACTTCATAAAGCCTGGTTTTTCAGTGGACAGCTTTCATCTTAAGGATGTAAAGTCTTCATATACCTAGACACTACAAAAATATCAGGAGGAATCAATTCTCTCTGCTCTCCTCAAGCAAATAACATGTAAATATTGATTAAATTTCAAAATTCAAAGGCATATCTTTGGGGGGGGGTGGAAACAACCCAGATGGCTTTCCCATCTCATTGACTGCTTTTAATTTTCCTCCACAGGTTCAGTTTAATTAAAGAATATTCGTTGAACATTTATTCTGGAAAAACTGCAGATAGCATAGACCCAGCCCCCCAGAAATTTATCACTCTGAGCATGGGTTTAGATACCATGATTCTGGGTCTGCGTGGCATAGGAGAGAGAACAGATCAGTAGGCACAGGCATGAGTGAAATAAAGCAATTCCCCAAATACTTGTGATAGAGAAGATGGCACATTCAGGAAGCATCAAAAAATGACACACACTTATAATTCTCTATAATAATGCATATTTTTATTATTCTTGAAAGTTGAGAATCCTGTATTTTAGGATGTGTTCAACTTGGAACCAAAAGGGGGTTAAGAAATAATAACTGAAGAACATGACAATTCTCCCTCAGTTTGGTATGAAAAATGGAAGTTAAATTAAACTAATCAACACAGAACTCTGAACTAGAAGGATGCCTCTGTGATATTATACAATAAAAAGGAATAAACCTAAACCATTCCAGATAGATACAGATCATTACCATGTTTCAATTCCATTTTAAAAGGCCACTAGGGAGATAAATGCAATGGACAACTCCAGACATCTAGCACAGTGCTGAACTTCTCAGCAGTTTTTTAATGATTAACATAAATTTCATACTATGGTATAAAGTCCTTCAAATTTTCTTGTTAGGATAAAAGCTGAGAATAGTTAATTGTCAAGCTGTGATTCAATTAACCTTCATTGTAAAATAGAGCTCCTTTCTAATGCTGGCTCCTTGGTAGATAACTATTAGCTTCTTGTGTAAGAGTTTTACGGTATGCTATTTATCATTTAGCACATACTATTCATAAAGAACCCCATTGTAACAGAATCCTACTTTATTTCAAGATCATTTTTTTTAACAACTCTCAGCTCAATAATCCAAAGATTTTTCCATTAATATTTCATGCGTAGTTAAACTTGCTGGTGGGCTATTCCACTCCTAGATATCAACTGAAAGAACATAAACAAACTAATTGGGGCTCTCCCTGGTGGGGCAGTGGGTTAAAGTACTGCATTATGAAGCTTTCCAAAACTACTACAGCACAAGTTCGATCCCCACCCAGGGAGGTGACCCACATGGCATGGCAGACCTCTCCAGACATGCTCACTGCTACCCTCAGCAGTGTACTTTGTCAGTCTGCTTGTTCTGTTCCCTTCTCTGTCTCTGGTGAATCCTCTCACCACTCCTGCACCTCTGGCCTGTACCCCAGTTCTGTATGCACAAATAAATAAATCTAAAAAAAAAAAAACTAATTGGAAAAGAAACCTGTACTCTCATGTTTATAATAGCAGTATTTACAATAGCTAAAATCCAGAAACAACATAAATAGCCCAAAGCAGATAAATGTTCAAGAAATTGTGGTACATATACTCAATGGAATATGACTCAGTGATCAAAAAAGGATAAATTCATGCCATAATAAGTAAAGTAAGTAAGAAGTAAAAAGATTAATACCAAATGGTTTCACTTATATGTGGAATATAGAGAAAATTAACAGAAGGTTAGACAAAGACACACCTTGAAAGTTGACCATAGATCTGAGGCATGCAGGGGTGGTAATAAGAGGAATGGTCTGAAAAGAGAAGGGGGAAGAACACATTGGACAATGCCTAAGGCTACCGCAGGGGTGGGTGGGAGCAAAGGGGAGAGGGATCCCAAGAATAATTACTGAGGCTTTGGTGGTGGCTGTGATGAAATAATATGCTATTATAGAGGTAGGTGTAAACCTATACCATTAAGATAGATACTGTATTGTAAATGAACATTACTTCAATAAATATAGTTTTTCAAAAATAACTAACTAAACTTGCTGATTATCCTTAGCAACTATGATTGGGGAAGTATATCCATGTAACTAGGGCGGTGAATCTTGGGGAATCCAGGAACTCCTTAGAAAGTTTAAGAGGCTCCTCCTTCTCAGATCCAGAGCTTCAATTAGTGTTGCATAGGTGACCTGACTTTATAAAATCTGCTTTGCATTTCCTGCCTATTTATAAAATGTAACTGACATTTCTGTTTTCTACAGATAGATGATGCTTGTTCATCTTTCCTGTCCATTGATTCTCAGCCTCAGGTAATTCCATATGGAGGTATTTCCTAAAGATGTAGATAGAATTTTTGTAATGCTTAAATACTCCATTTTTGCCTTTGGGCCTGCCATTACTTTGTAGACATATTAAAACATGACAACATATTAGAAACTATTATGTAATCTTCAGGCAATAACCAGTGATGTGAACTTAGGTTTGTAAAGTGCTAGAGTTCTTATCTCTAGGTAAAGTAAATTTGCAGGTAACATGTACATATTATAGAAATTAAAATGTCACTTTTAAAATCAAATTGTGTTAGATTTAAAATAGTGTTTCTATTGCTGTATTTTGGGGCTAATATCTTGTCCCCCAACTGAACGTGAAACCCATAGAGAAATAAACTGATAGAATTAGACTTACAAAGAACAAAGTATCATTGTAAGTAAAATGTTGATTTGTGAGTACAACCTCAGATCCAATGCCAACTGTGTTTGCTAGCAATGTCCCCGGAATTAAACTGGGGTTAGGCTATGACTCAGGGTCTCTCATCAGAGGCAGGTTTTCTGCCACAGGGCAGAGACCAGACATAAACAACCATCCAGAAAGCTGGCTCCCTAACAGGAAAGGGCTGAATAGAACTTGCCCAACTTCCTTTTCCCTAGCAACCATCTTTTGGGTAACTTCTCTTCCTCTGGGAAAGAGCTAACACAGAATTGGGAGAGAAGAGCTGCTGTAATTGAAAACACGAGAAATGGCAAGTGTGTGTCCTTTATCTGGGCTTCTTGTGTCTGCAGTTCTCTGAGTGCAGGTACATCATAGTCAGCTTTAGTGGTTTGACTTACTTAAGAAGTATAGCTAGTCTCCTGCAAAAAGAAGAGGCTCTGGCTCTGTGCCTGGAGCATACTGCCTCTACATGGTCTGGTCAAGATGTCTTATCTTTCCACACAGTCCTTCCAGAAAATCATCTCGGTCGGTGTAAAGAAACGGTTTTGTGTCTGTATTTCTCTTTGTGCTCTCATTGTCCTGCCTCAGTCCATTCCTTGGTTGGCAGGAAGGGGATGACTTGCAGGACATAAGAGGCATTAGATGGTAGGGCATGATCAGGATAACAGTAGATGACATTTATCAATATGTCAAAGCACTCGAGGAGCACTGAGAATCAGTGATTAGTAATAGATATTGATCATCATCAGCCTTTTGCATTGTGTTTAGAATTCAGGAACATCCTGAGGATGACTTATTTCCACAATATTAAAAGGATGAATTTTTAAGTACTTATCTAAACACAAAAATAAAATAAGCTTTGAATACTGTGCGTCTTTTGAGGACAGTTTGTTACTTTTACTAAGGAATCTTTTACATTAACCAAATTAACTTTCAAAACCATTCATTTTCACATTAACTATTATTTTATTATTTATGTTGTTACCATTTTTACCTCATAGAAAGTAAAGAATATTTAGCGTCCACAAATAAAAAGCGAGTATGAGAAAAATCCATGAAGAATTGTTGTGGCCATACCATGAAATAATGGGATGAAGGAAATGAAATTTGTTTTGAAGCTTCTGTTAAACTTCAACCTCATTCCAAGCCTTATCCAGCTTAGAGGTTGTTCTTAGGAGACATTAATTCTCTGCAGAAATTTATTTCTTCCTTGAGTTGAGAGATACATCTGTGACACATGATTATTTCTTGTTACTTTTATTACATTTCTAGATTGGCCATGAAAGGAGGTTTCAGGGATTTATTTCAAGTTTTTTTTTTTTTTTTTTTTTTTTTTGTGTGTGTGTATACCTATTCCTGAAGGGCGAAAATGAGAAAGGGTGTTTTAGTGGCCACACTCTACTTTTCCTCCCATCCAGTTCCCAGCCCCAGGCTTAACCATCATTACCAACACAACAGAGGAATATCTAGAGGTGGGAAGAACTGTTTTGAGGTTACTCCACCAACTACTAGCCTTCATGCTCTTGGGCAAGTGACAAATCTCTAGAAAACTCACTTCCTTTATCCATGAGAATAAAAGTTAATGTCTTGATACCTCACAGCTATGCACAAAAGTGTTTGGTGATTTACTAAAGCACCATATAAGTAGGTGTCATTTATTATTATTATTAATTAATAATAATTATTATTATTAATAATTAATAACTCAACAATTTGCAGAGTGGGCAAACAAATGGAAGACCAGGACGATCTCTGGTGCTAAGAAGGAAGCTCAAGGAGACTGTTTCATGGACTGCAGCCATATCCTTAGACACAACCAACCAGGCTAAACATGCACTGATCAGTGGCTGAGGATATTGGTGGCCTCAAATGAAAAGTAACTGCAGCTGTCAGTCAAGCTTTGCAGGTCACACATTTTTAGATGCAGCTGTTCTTAACTAATTGTTATGCACCGGGACCTTGCAAAGCACTGTTCCTCTATTTAATCCTTCCAAGAGCTCTTGACAGTGATGTTTTCATCCCTGATTTATAGCTGAAGACACTGTACTTTAGACAGGTTAGGTAACCAGCACAAGGTTACATGTTTGAAGAGTAGAAATAAGATATGCACAGATACAGAGTTATAGGCCGCTCTACTCTGTAGTCCATGTTTTTAACGACTAATTATATGGGCCCCTCCATTGTTCTACTTCCTCATTTCTTCCAGTATGCATTTATTAAGTAGTTAATTGTGGTACTACTGTGTGAAATTCTGTGCAAAGCAGGTTTCGCCCCTGCTTGTCCATTTGCGCCACTCCCCAACACGCCCAACTGGCTGCAAACACAAGGAGCTCTGCCCTACTTCTGTGCTCAAATGCTTTGAAAAACCTGATCGTGGGGTGTGCAGTCAGCAGCCTGGAAGCGTGGTAACTCAGATTAGGTGCACCTCACACAGCTGCTTCCCCTCCAACTCCCATTGTTTGCAAGCAATTGCAGGGCTTTCAAATTAGTCAATGAGTAATAATCAGAGAGGTTCACAGTTTTGGCATGTAGATTCAGACTTTATTACAAGCTGGGAAGGATAATCCCTCTTTTGGCATTGCCTTACTTACTCTTAGTCACAGAATTTCATAGGCTCTTAGCAAGTACTGAGAGCTATGAATCTGAACCACAATGGAAACTTTAATCAGCCTTAAACACACAGTACAGAGTTTTTCTTTTCTGGTTGGAAGGAAAGTTTTACTACTAGGAGCCAACTTTTTGTCCTATGAGAAATCAAGAGATTCCGATACAGTTTTTATTAACCACAAGAAGGATTCTGGGTAGTGAGACTATCGCCGTGGTTCTGACATTCTACAGTTATATCTTCTATACAAATGTTGGTAAAGCAAAAGCATAGTCTCTCTGTCTTCTCATTTCCATTAGGCATCCAATGCACTGGAGCAGCTTTGCCTCTCAGTTTTGGGGACACTACCAAAGCCCCAGGTAAGGTTAACATTGTATTACTTAAAGACAAAGCACTGCCTATTGAATTCCTCCTGGAAGAAACATACCCAGTTTAGGAAACATGCCGAGAGGAGTAGAGGAGGATAAATTGGTTTGGATAAGAAACAAATACTTGAGTTACTCTACTGTCTGAGAATTTAAATTTAATGTCATCCTAATGTGAATTGGAAAATCATTGTTCCCCTCTGTAGGGCCTCACTACGAGCTTACCCAGTTCTCAGTGGCGGCACATGAGAAAGCAGGTCACAACATCCATATGTGTGGAGCACAAACAGTCCTTATTATGAAGCAACACTCGGTACACAGGTAGCAAAAGTGGTGGCGGCAGCCCCCTGGGTTCCAGCCACAGCAGTGTCCCCATGCCCTGTGAATGGCCAGTAAGACTCCCAGGAGAGGCCAGCCATGAGGATCCTTATTAGCTTTTTATTAAAAAGATTTATTCTGTAATGAACAGCCATATATCAGAGACATATTGTGGGGGTGGAGTGGGGAATGGGATCAAAAACAAAGGGGGCTAGGGGGGAGGGAAGTGCACGGAATTATGGTGATGGCACACGGGTGACTTGGTGATGGGAAACCCGCAGGGACTACAATTGAGATGGAAAAAAAAATGTAAAAAAAAAAGATTTATTCTGGGCCTTCTTTGGTGGCACAGTGGGTTAAAGCACAGCACTAAGAAGCTAAAGCCACTTTCAGCATGAGTTTGATCCTCTCCTCGGAGGTGACCCCCATGGCACAGCAGACCTCTCCTGACCCGCCCGCTGCTCCCCTCAGCAGTGTACTTCATCAGTCAGCCTCTTCTGCTCCCCGCTCTGTCTCTGGTGAAGCCTCTTACTACACCAGCACCTCTGGCCTGTATGCCAGTACTGTATACATTTAAAAAAAAAAAAGGACTTATTGTTATTTATTTGTGTATATAAGAACTGGAGTGTGGGCCAGAGATGCATGGGGGTGTAGGATGGCAGATTCACCAGAGACAGAGTGGGGAGCAGAACAGGCAGATCGATGGAATACACTGCTGAGTAGAGCAGCGACTGAGACAGGAGAGGTCTGCCACACCATATGTGGGTAGCAGCTCCCTGGCCTGGATCAACTCAGGCCACAGTGGCTGTAGATAGCTTGATAGAGCTGAAAATTTAACCCCTGCACTACCAGGGAGACACTTTCATTCACTTTTTTATGATTTATAGACAAAGCCAGCACAGGGCCAGGCTTAACGTTTGTTTATCCAAGTATGTTTTGTGCATACAAATTATACGTTAAAGTTATGTATTATTTGGCGCATTCAGCATATGAGGACTACCTATCAAGGCTCTGTTGTGCCTGTGAGACCATCAGTGCTGGAAAGTCACTGAGGAAAACAGCTGAAGAAACTCCAAGAAAACTGTTTTCCCATGGCCCTACATCCTCAAATATAGATGTGTTCCAGGTCTGATGAGAGAAATCTGGGGTCATTTTGGTTCCTTTTCACTCTCTGACTCATAATACAGTTGGACAATAGATGCATCTTTCTGAGCTTTTTGAGATCAGGATGTTGTACACTGCTAGAGAAAAGGACATTAAGATGATGGTGATGGTGCACCGCTGAACTGGTGGTGGAGATTTTATGGGGACTACACCTGAGAGGAGAAAGCAAACATTGTACAAAATGAACAATGATGTGAAATATATATTATATTAATTATTTAAAAAAAATAAAACCATGTAAATTCAAAAAAAGAATTTTTTGAAAAGGCAAGCTGTATTGTCAATATTTTGAAAATGATATTCTTATAATGTCTGATAATTTAATTCTTCTTATTTCTTTATTAAGGATGAGCACCTCAAGTTTAGAATTATGTGTTTCTTTGCAGTTTTAATGTATCAGAATGATCACTGATACATTCTGACTTCTTTAGCTTTTACATTCAATAATTCAAAAATGCTTTGCTATTTTGAAAAAGTATTTTCTAAAGTTAAATCATCGAAGTGTGTGTTTTTCCAGTGTTTTTAATGATGATATTTTCCCCCAAATTTCACTTTTCTTCCTAAGTATCCATGGCTTTTGTATCCATGATTTTACTTTTGTATTAAAAAGCAAATGTGAGTAAGAAAGAATAACCAAAAAAGAACAAGGATCATATGACTCTTCTTAAAAAAAATTTTTAGACAGAAAGGAATATAGTTTATGAAATAAAGCAAAAATAACTCATAATTTAGCAATAACAACTACAAATATTTTTAGATAATATGATACAATATTCTAGCATTATAAACTTTATGCTATATCTTATTTATTATATATACTATGCATTATAACTTTATAGTGTATCATATAATAATATTTGTTTCTCTTTTTAACAGGAAATAGATGAAAAAGATGATACCAAAAGGGTAAAGTAATTTCTTCAAACATATACATTAAAAATAATAAATGAAACCATTAATCATTTATAGTAAATCTCACTATCTTATTTTATAGTTCTTATTTCATTATTCAAAGACACAGAAGTTGGGCAATTCAAATGTTGTGGTAAGTTGAGAATTACTTCTTATTTGTAACCACTACTTTATTTTTTTCTTAAAAATCTGGTTGTGTAGTATATTTGATAAAGCCAGTTTAAAATTCATGTTTTTCAGTTTAAGAATTTGTATGTGGGTAAACAAATGGAATTGAAATGTGTAACACATTTATATTTCAACAACTACATGTACATTAAATCCATTCATTTATCCAGAAATTACTTACTGAGTATCTACTTTGTGCCAAGCACAATTCTAGATACTAAAAATATAGCAGTAAATTAAATATAAAACAAGAAATACTTCTCATGAAATTTACATTCTAGAGGCAAAGGAAAATACTAATTAAGTAAAATGTACTGTTTTAGGTGGCATGTAGTGCAGAGAAAAGTAATTTTATTCAAAGGCATTTTAAGAATTGTTGTAAAAGATGATTGTCAAAAATGTAATTAAATGTAACTAGAAATATCCATTCTCTTCCTAATATCTCATTTGTAAGTAGTTAATGTAAGAATTTACTAACACTTGCCAGAATCATTGCACTTCTTAATTGCATGGTTTTAGTGGTCGATTTTATTTATTTTTATGCTAACCCACCTACATTAGTGTTTCAGTCTAGAATACTTTGTAGTCGATTGACTGCAACATGCCTTATAAGCTTGTGACTCAATACCAAAGATCAAGTCAGGGAATGAGCGACATCGTGTATTTGAAGCCTGGTGTACTTGTGGAAAGATAACAGTAACGCTAAACTCAGTTTTAGGTGTTTATCACATTGAATATTCTTATATATTAGGAGGTTAGCTTAAACTGTGTTAAACCAAATACAAATTGAATTGGTTAAATAGCTATGACAGGACACAAAGTAATTCATTTGATAAATGAACTTAGTATTTGTGAACAGGTCCAATTCAAGCCATGCCTTTAAAATGAAATGTTTCATTTCTCCTACCTCAGATGTGCTTGCCTTTATTTCTGCTTCTCGTGTTTACAATTGGAGAAAATATATCTTAGTCTCAGCTTTCACAATCAACAGCACTTTGCCATTTTATGTGCCCTTGCCTTGTTCCATATGTTCAGTTCTCAATAAGACATAATTTATCAAGGAGATTGCCAGATGTGTGCACAGTGTAGTCTTCCAGACAAACATTTTCACGATGGAAAACTGATTCTCACGGGGTTGGTTGCATCTGTCCCAAATCATTTTGAGGAACTGGGGGAGCAGACAGCTTTTTGCCCCTCAGAGACGCAGGCAGGTGTTTTACTTATCGGCCGCTGATGACAGAGCTGGGGGGCTCAGGAAAGTGCTTCTTCAGCAGGATGACAAAGATCCTGTTATCCTCCTGGTGTAAAGCTACCAAATTGTATCCCCTCTCTTAGCTAATTAATTCTCCAGATCTTTGAAGTGTTCTCAAAGGACTGCCGTAGACAACATCTTTCTTGTTCTTTTTTGTCTGGAGCAAGTCTGGTAGGGAAAACAAAAGTAAACAAACAGGAAACCGTCTTTATGTCGAATGCCAGAAGCCTTTGTGCTCATCATGTGTGTTCGTGTCTCTCAGACCTCGGCTGTCGTTCACCCCCTGTTGCACCTCGTTCCTCAACTGCATGAGAGAAGAATGAAGAGGTTCAGAATGAACGTACGTTAAGGCCCAGTGCTTGCCGCACCGTGTGGGACAGCCCTCTCTGTAATTCCCACCCTGGCGGTGTATAGCACCTTCTTGACGATAAGCCCCACATACACCCAGCTAAGCTGCAGTTAACCTGTTTGCAGAAGTGTTTTCACACTCAGGAAGAATTGTGTTCTTCCCACATAAGGTGCCACCTCACTCTACCTTGGGCAGTGAGCAAAGCTGGGGTGGGTTCCCCAAGGGCCTCTGCCCTCTCAGTGACAAAATCTGGTCCCGAGGATGCCCAGTAGCAGGCTTACTCATAGGGGAAAAGAGAAAGGACAACTTACTGCCCCTGTCTTTACAACGTGGCAAATGGCTAGGATGACAAATTTACTCTCCAAGAATTAAAAGGTCAGTAAGCCTCATGAAATGGATGTCAGGAGTTAAAAATAAGTGTTTTGTTTTTTTCTCACATTAAAAAAATAAATACCACCCAAGGTCTCCCTGGTGGTGCAACAGGTTAAAGCACAGCATTATGTACTCTCTGAAGCCACTACAGCACAAGTTCAATCCCCAGCCAGAGAGCTGACCCACATGGCCCGGCAGATCTCTCCTTGACCCTGGTTCCCCTCAGCAGTGTACTTAGTCAGTCAGCCTGTTCTGCTCCTCTCACGGTCTCTGGTGAATCCTCTCACCCACCACACTTCTGGCCTGTACCCCAGTTCTGTAAGCATAAATAAATAAATCTTTAAAAAAAATACCACCCACATCTAAGCCATTAAATGTATAGCTGCTAAGTGAATTTTAAATATTAATGTTTTCAATCCTTTAAGTAACTTGGTAGGGTTTATAGTTAGATAAGAATTAGGCACAAATATTGAAAATTTATGATACATTTGTTGTAAAGCAAGGACTTAAGATTTTAATAGATGTCAGAGCCATTTCCTACTTTATGTCTCCAATTTCTTTAAATTTCATAATTTAAAATTATAATTTCACTCATATTATGGAATAACCATAATATGGCTTGATGGCATAAAGGCTTGATGGCAAATTTCTTTTTTTTTTTTTAAGATTTATTTATTCATATAGAACTGGGGTACAGGCCAGAGATGCGGAGGGTGAGAGGATTCACCAGAGACAGAATGGGGAACAGAACAGGCAGATCAACAAGGTACACTGCTCAGGGGAGCAGTGGGCAGGTCAGGAGAGGTCTGCCACGCCATGTGGATCTCCTCCAGGGCAGGCTGGGATCGAACTCATGCGGAAGTGGCTTAAGCTTCTTAGTGCTGTGCTTTAACACCCTGCGCCACCAGGGAGGGTCTGATGGCAAATTTCATAGTGATCGTCATCCTTGATACTTTTATTGTAAGTAGTGATTAAAATTGTAACTAAGAAAAGCAATTTCATGAAAATCATAAAATATTAATTTATTTCCCACTGAGTTTAAAATGAAATGCTTTAAGAAATTAACATCTAAAAACCTACCCATCATACACTGGATTTGTTTCTGTTTGACATAGTTTGTTACCATTTATCTATAAGTATAAATTATATACTCTTCTGAAGTCTCATGGAATATAGTTTGAGACTTTCACTTAATTTAAACTAAAATTCCTATAGAAATATTGTGCATGTAAGTTCTGACACAATTTGTTGTTTTTCCCATGCTCACATGTTAGCGTATACAATAGGCATTTCAAAGAAACTACTTCATTCTAACATTATGCTGAAAAATTTTACATGTAGTCATTTCTCTTTCTACTCATTGATGAATGTATGTACAACTGCAACCTTCCTGAAAATAGGATTTTTATATTGGTAAGAGTATTAATATAAAATATAATGCTCTGAAGATACTTTTAGTTGCTGAAAATTCTTCCGCTAAAGAAAAAGATTTATTGATGTGATTATATATTCAAGTCCGTGTTTCTCCCTCAGTTACAATAGTTGGAAATAACTGAGCTTCCCTATAATCTCAAGAAGAATGTGCATTTAAGTTTTTGATTCTTAATGTGCTTATTTTCTCTTCCAGGGAGAAATTCAAGGTCCTCTTCCAAATCAAAAAATGTTTTTATTCAGGGTATGCATGTACTGTGTTTTTTAAAATTCAATAGAAATATACTTTGTGTACTTTCAGTAAGTCGTAAGTTTTAAGTTTTGAAGTTTACTTATATGACATCAGGCTTACAGTATATTTATTAAACCAACTTATTTGATGCTATGGCATCTCTGTTCACTAATCTGCTAGTCATGTAATTCTCCAGTTACATTCACCTGCTTCACAGTTACATTCCAACTAACTTTCAAAGATCATTTACTAAATTTTTGATTCAGTAGACTAGAAGAGTAATGACATTTGCACAAATGTTTTAAAAAATCAACTACATAAAGAGCAGAACATTATAATTGCATTTTATATTTTGTATGTACAGATTGTGGATGAAATGTGAATTTCTTTCGAAGCAGCTGTTTTCTACAGGATTGTTAATATATTAACAGAGATTATTTATTTGGGACCTTATTTATTGAAGTTCTACTATGTGCTGGGCAACATACCAAAGATTAGAAATATAAAAACAGATAGGATTTTATTCTTATGCTCTGAAGTTTACAGCCTCACATAGTAAATACTGATAAACAAGAACAAAGTGCTGTGCTAATTGCCTCTTCAATCCAGGTCTGTGGTTTCTAAAAAATAGGTAGTTAACCCTGTATGGGGAGTAGAGGAGTTTCAGAGAATGCTGACAGCTAAGTTTGAAAAATCAGCAAAAATTTGCCAATGAAATATTTAGCTAAGGAATTTCAACTTTTTTGTGAAGGTTAAGTCAAGATTTGCATTTTGGAAACCAGTTGTTATGACAAAATTGAGAATGGATTGAAGGAAAGAACAAGAAAGAGTAGATGGGGAAAAATAACATTAAATAATTTTGACTTAATTTGACTTAATTTGACTTGATTTCACATCAAAATTGAGAATATTTGTTTTTCAACTTTGGTGCCTTCAGTGAAATAAAGTCCAGTAATGTGAAATTTAATGTTGTCCTCCGTGGCTTTAGCATCAATCCAGAATTTACTGGAAATACAAATTTTATGGTACCACTCTTGTAAAAACTCTAGCTGTGGGGTCCAACAGGCTGTATTGGCACAAAACCTTCAGGGGTTCTGATGTCCATTAAAGTTAACACTATTGAGCCCATTAAGCTATGAAATTTAACTATGAAAGTTAATTTCTCTCCTTAGTTATACTGATTTATTTCTAATTTATTATTTTGTAGCCACGCAATGGGAGAAGGTCAGAAGATTACATTTAAAATGTTGTGAGAAGAAACAAAGGAAACAAGCAAACAACAAAACAAAAACATGCCGTTGGAATGACCACAGATGTTGGTTATGAGAGAAGGGGGCGTGAGGTGGGAGGACTGGTGGAGAGGGACCTTTGGATGATGGTAGCTCTTAAAGGGTGAATATGTTAAATACATTTGTGAAACTGTATTCCTGACATTTATATGGTGTTGTAAATCAATCTTACCTCAGTAAAATAAAGTGGTATGTGCTTCACAATTCAATCCAGTTTGAAATTTTCTGTCATTTTCAGATATTCACAAATTAAACTATGCTGAATATATTTCTATTATTTGACCGCAGGTCACTAATGGTCTACATGAATACTACAATTAGAGGGATTATAATTACAGAGCCTAATTGTGAGGACTTTATTTAATGCAGACTGCCAGCATTTTAGGACTAGAATTACTTTGTCCATGTCATATACCCTTAAGACTATACCACAATGACCTTTTATCATTGTTTTTAGAGACACTGACATTATTATTTGTCATTAGGAACTGCATCCTGATTTTGGTAATCACTGTCCACAATATTAGCCCAAAACTTAGGCAGTGACTGTGTCTCTGTGATATAGATGACCCATATTCAAAGATTCTTTATAAAGAGATAACTTGGGGCCCCCCTGGTGACTGAGGGGTTGTTGCATACTGTGAAACTATTGGCAGCCACTGCCGCATGAGTTCCATCCCCACCCTGGAGGCGATCCACATGGAGTGGCAGACTGCTCCTGACCCGCCCGCTGCTCCCCTCAGCAGTATATTTCAGTCTATCCGCCTGTTCTGCTTCCCTACTCTGTCTCTGGTGAATCAACTGACCCCCAGCACGCTGGCCTACACCACAATTCTTGTATGCATAAACAAATCTTAAAAAAAAAAATACCATTTATAGGGAACCTAGAAAGTATGAAAAGATGCTAGTATGATTCTAATTTGAGACTCTTAGTGTCTTTAGCTCAGTGCTGAGTTTCAGTAGATACTTGCCATCTACGGAATGTCCCTACGTGTTTAGTCAGTATGTTACTAATAATTTCTTATTAGGCTTTGATTTTGAAATTAAGTCCAAATTCAGAGGGATAAATTTATACTACAGAAATAAAACATATTCTATTAACTTTATGTAATCCTAAACACAAATACTGTAACTAGTATATTTTTACAAATGTATTCATTTTACAAATATATTCATTCGTATGACTAATCTCAATCCTTAAATAGAGATTTAGCTTACAAATGGTAAAATTCTTAGTATTTTCTCATGGAAAGAAAAATCAAAACGTACCATTTTTAATCAAAGGAGATAGCAACACCAAAGTTTTATAATATCTAGACAATAAGGGTAATAAAAGCATTGTGTATTAACACAGTATTGCCAAAAACACATCAAATGGAAAATTCTATGTTTTTAACACTATCAAGCAAGATAGGATGAGTGAATTAAGAGTTAACACTATAAGTTAATAAAGAGAAACAAGCTGAACTTCAGGAAAGTAAAGAGAAGAAAACTAAAATAAAAGGTGAAATTACTACATTATAAAATAGTAAATTAGAAAACGGGTGAAAAGAAATTTGATTCTTTGCAAAAGAACAATATTAAAATGAACTAATAACTAGCTTAACCTAATGAAGAAAAAAGGCAGAAACTGTAAGTATACACAAGTATATGTGAAAAGAGGGACACTAAGCCAGATATAGAAGAACTGAAAATTATAGAAGGGGACTTTTCAAAGTCCGTATTATAAACCCACCTCCCCACCCCCAGGCTGGGGAATCCCCCAGGTAAGGGTGGCTTTACTAGGCTACTAGCAACCCAGTTTTTAGTTTATTTAGTTATTTTAATCTTCAATAAAGTTGTTTCACCCTACAACTTCTGAAAGTAAACCAGTCTTGTTGATTACCAGAATGAAAACATTCTTACAAATAGAGGATCATGATCACACTGGAACAATTTTATTTTTTACATCAAATCAGCATTTAATGGACACAAAATTAATTTCAGATGGATGCTGAGACTGTTTCCCTTCAGGTTCTCTTAGGTTTCCCCTCTGACTTGCCTCTTGGATAACACTCTGTTTTACAGAGCAAGTTCCTTGTTGAAAGTTTGCTCTCTGAGGGGGTAGGATTAGATTCATACTCTTCAGAGTAGAGCGCTTTTTGTCTTGCTAATATTGAGCATGGATTATAGCACATATTATGCATTTTACTAACAAAGTCCCTGGACTCACTTCTTGCCAATGCATACAAAGAACAGGACAGAAGGCGAGGAGGATAAATTGTCTGTTCTTTTAAAAATAAATTGCCTTGACGAGAGGAGGCAGGTCCTCCTGTAAAAAGACAGATGCATAGGGCAAATTAGCTAGTGCTGTGCACAGTAATTTGATGATGCAATAATCAGTAATTTGAATTTTGGATTGTCAAAATAAGAAAAGGGAATAGACTATTAATTTGAGGAACAGTTTTCAGGGACTCAGAAACCCAGGAGGACTTAGAGCACTGACAATTTTTTTTTCTTTTTTCTTTTCTTTTATTTTTTTCTTGCATCGTTGTTCATTTCTGTACAATATTTACTCTCTCCCCTTAGGTGTAAAATCCCCGTAAATCACCACCACATTATCCATGAACCATCAGCATAGATGCTTGGAGCACTGACAATTTTTAAGGCATCCACAATATTAAAATAAGACAAAGAACTACCAAAACACGTGGTTACAAAAATTGTGGGATAATTTAAAATATTTTGTATTTAGTAACTGAATACCTTACCTACAAACATAACAATATATAGACTACTAGGGGCTTAGGATTTGTATTGTTGAATGAACAACACAAACAGTGGTTTAATGCTGAAACCAAGTTTAAAATTATGTAATTGAAAGCAAAATACTTTTTCTTCTTTTCCAAATCTTATCAGTCTAGCTCTGTGATCATGTGTATAACCTTATTTGGTAATAACATCAAAAGTCTCCCCCATGTTCCTGGTAGCCCCAGGAAAGCCCTTAACTTAAACACCAAGGAAACCACCTATCTAGGTTTCCTCCCTAGAGGCTGAGTTCCTATTTCTTAATTTTTTTTAAAGATTTATTTATTTATGCATGCAGAACTGGGGTACAATCCAGAGGTACAGGGATGGTGAGAGGATTCACCAGAAACAGAGTGAGGAGCAGAACTGGCCTACTGATGAAGTACACTGCTGAGGGGAGCAGCCCGCAAGATAGGACAGGTCTGCAGCACCATGTGGATCACCTCTGGGGAAGGGATTGAACTTATGCTGAAGTGACTTTAGCTTCTTAGTGCTGTGCTTTAACTGGGTGCGCCACCAGGCTGGGCCCAAGCTCCTATTTCTGAAGGCAATGGGTGTTGAGAGATGTGAATGAAGAGCCATTTAAGTATCTGATGAAAACTCTACTCCTTAATTCTTCCTACGCCCAGTGTACACAGACAAAACCAATTAAGTGTAATTGGGGATGGAGGCTAGTTATCCTCTGAAATTCATCCAAATATATGGGCTCCAGGTTAAGAAGTCCTCTCTCCATCAGAATTGTATTACTTCTCCATGAAGCCAGGAGTCAGGGTTTGAAAGCTGCCAGAAGTAGGGAGTTGACGCATTGATATTGGTACTCTTGGTGGGAAAGGTAGAAGGAATGCCTGCGCTGGTACTACATAGTGACTAGAAACGGTACCCCCAAGAATAAAGAACCTGGAGATTGGTACCCGAGGCAGCCCCCGAGGGCTACGCCTCTCGTTGCCTGGCAACAGAGCTGTGCCTGCCGCACCTGTGTTAGCGGAGCTAGTTCTTCTGCTCTCCCTTCCCCCCTTCCCAGAGGGCGGGTGGAAACCTCCCCTCTGGTGGCCGGCTCTCTTCCCGCTTTAGCAGACATCGAGGTTTGAACCCGGGCTTCACCAGGGGCTGTCTCGCCAACTCGTGAGAGATCTCGCCAGAGAGCATGCAGGTGGGCTGAACAGGCACCAGTTATCCTGGGGCACCCGGTGGGGTCCTGGGCTGAGGATGAACATGAGTAAGAAGGGCGGCTCAGAGGGTTTGGGTTCTGATGTTTGTTCGTGGTGAGAGCTAAATTTTGTGGGGTCTCTGTCGAAATTTTAGAGAATCCGAATTTCCTCTTGGAGAATGCCAGTTTTTCAACACTCAAGACTTTTGGAAGTGTTCACAATTATTTCACATCTGAATCCTGGAAATCTTAACTGCAACACTATTTCTGGACCAAAGACATAGAATAGCAACTTCAGCTCAAATGTAATTTAAGTATCCTGCCCCATTACCTTAAAATAAGATCAGATTGGAAATCCTAGTAGTTGACCAGCTGTTCCTGGAGTTTATCTTATTCAATCATAAATATGTTAGAAGGCAAAGTTGATGGGCAGACTGTTAGACTTCTAAACAATAAATAGAAGTCTACCTACCCCTTTGTCTAAAGCTTCCTTAATAACCAGATGCCCGTGCTTTTCTTTCATTAGCAGATTTGTGAATATCTGTTCTCCAAATTAAAATCACTGTGGTTTTTCTAGTTTTATATATTTAATTTTGGTATTTGTATATACTGTATAATTTACTAGGAAATTTTGAAAATAAAATACATAGAATTTTTAATAGATGGTACTTTTGCGTGAATAATAGATTCTTGCGTGTATTACAAGCTTCTTACAAGAACATTTTATGTAATGTGTAAAAAATTGCAAATTTGTCTTAAATTGGAACATTTTTCAAGAAATAGGCTGAAATGTAATCTAGAAGGGAGGAATAGTACATTAACCTTTACTTATTTATTCACTGATTTATTCAATAGTCACTTTTTCAGTGCTGACGTTTAGCTATGGACCAGTGCTGAAAGAGCTTAATATGGGAACAAGAGGGAGAAACATATAATAATTTATGACAAGAAAAGTTCCAGAACAGTTTCAAATAGCTTGAGGTGACTATTTCTATTAGATAAAATTTCATAAGTAATTTGTAAAATTGAAGACAAGAATGGAATATAGAGCATTTATTGTCATGTTAAATCCCATTGCAACTAACCCCTAAATCAGGTAAGGAAAAGCAGAAAGGAATGAATACAACTGTAAAACTGCAGTGTCATGAATATCAAGGAAGAGTGTTTAACAAGAATGACTAACTCTTTCCAATTGTGCTTAAACAATTAATAAAGTGAATTTACATTGATATTAGCAACATGGTGCTCACGAGTGGCCTTAATCAGAACAGTTTT